CCATTTTGTCACCCTGTCTCTCCAATAACAATGTCCTAATCCAATGTATTCCAATCCAGAGTTAAAAAGTATGTTCCTATTTTTCCGCCCAATGTCCTAATTTGTATTGCTCAAGCATTGGCAGGTACATTTTTACAAGGTCAGCCAATCTGCTGTCAGTGATACACGTGCATTTGGCTGTGATTTTCAAGTGTAACAAACACTCGAGATGAGACAGCCAACCACTGCAATCCTCATTTTTGTGGGAAATATTTCTTAAATCTCCTATGACTTGATTATCTCTATGGGGGAATAATCATCTTCCATGTTAGCCTGCAAGAGCCCAGAGCACTGTCCCAAATGTATGCTGTGTATAGATATTAGCCACCTCTCAAAGGAGTGGAACACAACAGTTGCCTCGCAGGGCACCACAGCGCTACACAAAAGGAGGTGAGAGGAAACATCCTATCCAGGGAACAATGCAGGAGTGATTCACAAAGACTGGCTGCAAGAGGCCAGTTGAATTTGGCCTGGGTGCTGGAAAGAACGCTCCAATTCTTGCTAAAATTGCCATCGTTTATTAAATGACTATAAATGCTCAATATCCTATTTTACGAAACAGCCAGTAAACCCATGCTGGAGCGTTGGCTCAGTGCCACTGGCTGAATCACCAACACGACTTCTTACAGATTCCTAGATTTTTCTTGGAGGCTTCCCGTCCAAATACTAACCAGCCCAGAACAAGCTTAGCTCACAAGATCACAGCCCCAGGGTTTTCTGAGTGCAGACAAGTGATGGCTTCAGCTATTAAATTTCTCTTTCGCTCACGTTGCTTTTGCTGTCTACACAAGGTTCAGATAACTGTTGATATAGCTCCTGTGATGAACTCCCACGGGGTATCGCAAAACACCTAGAATCTGAGTCCATCTGGGCCATGATTTCACAAACCATGCTGAATGTTTACCCTTGCAAAATGCAGGTGCATCTTTGGTCCCATAAAAAACTACATGCCTGTGTATTAATTGGACCTCACATGACCTACAGATTTAGACTACAAGCATCAAGGTGCTTTGCAGAATTACCATCTATACATGCAGAAGGACTCCTTCACTTCAGACGCAACCAAGCGGTGACAATATGAGAAATAACTTATCACCTAAACTGACCTCATTACCCGCCCTGTTACTTTATGCCACTCATGAATGATGGAGCTACCTGGCCACCCCAGTCTCATGAAGATAAATTTCATTATCCTTCGACTTATCATTATGGCATATTCCTTCTGCATTCATAACTTGATGCTATTTCTGTCAATTCTGGATAGGAATTTAGATGAGGGAGCCAATAGTGCAAGACGTACAGTAGTGTTCTGTGCTGCTATATAGAACATTCGGATCTTCAGAAGTTGATGAGGCCCAGAAATTTATTGAAACGTAATGAGGTATTGGATTTTGTCTGCCTTCTTGGTTGTGAAGTGTAGTGACTCCCGTGATCAGATATTGACAACAGTTTGGCAAACTGGAAAAGCATGCAGGCTGTGCGGTGAAAAATCAGTATCTAAATGGCCACAGGGTGCTCCCCAGGAAATAGACAGTTATTGAAGTCTGAAATAGCTTGGTCCAAAAATCATAACATTCTTGCAGCTCAGTAGATTGAGAGTTCCCTTAAGCTGTGCAAAGGTTATGCCATGTGCTTGTCTTACTGCGTCTTCTGCAGTTATTCTACGGCTTATGTTGTACTTTTTCTAACAACCAGGAACTAAACCCTGTGGTTGGGAGCACTGACTGAAAGCAAGGAAGGCCTAGATTCTCCCTCTTCTAGCCTCACCGCAAAGGCAGATGCAGAGATGAAACACGCAGGGAAAGATCTATCATGGTGATATTGTTTGGTCTTTTGCTCCTCGGGCCTGCGAATGCTGTTGAGGCAGCTGCACACTCACGTGTGGGAGGCAGGGAGGGGAAGAAAGAGCTGACTGCGTGGCGGAGGGGCTCATTAACAAGTGGTGTGGATGAGAGCTGAATGGAATACTGTCCATTCCATCTCAGGAACACTGACATGCTAAGATGGACTCCCTCACCCGGTCGTTTTGCCAGTGTTCACTCTTCTGTGGGGACTTGACTGTGGCAGAAGGTTTTTCTCTGGTGTGCGTATAAAATGGACTCCACAACTCTCCAGGTCTCCTGATCCTCATGCTGCTGTTATCTAATATGCTTTATATCCCCAAGAAAGCTAGCATTAAGATAAGAAAAGCTGCCCAATTCAGCAACCAGCCCAAAAAGGGGAAGGGAGCTTTGTTTACTTTCTGTGAAGGCAGGGTAAGAAAATGAACCACAATCTTAAAACTTGACCAATATTAATTAATAGTGGTTAGGGAACATATTGATTCATATATAACCCTTAGAAGAGGTGGGGAAATTTTCTAGCCATGAGGAATGCTGTAAGCCACCAATGCAGAAATGCCAGCTTTAAGAATCGAGCTCTTTGCAGATTCAGTTTGTGCTGCATCAGGACAGCCTGTAGCTGATTATCTCTTGCCTTCCAGGCAAATGTCACTGTGCTGTATGGGAATTTCTGAATTAAATATTAGGTGACAAGGAAATCATCTACCATCGCCATCCGGTCACTGTCACAAGCTATGGTAGGAAGCGACCATTCCACTCAGTAACAGCTTGACACATTCGTCAGTGTGAATAGCTTATCTGAGCCCTTTGTCTGCTGATCTTGCACAGACAGACATAGATTTTGATGCAAAAGTTCACTGTTCATAAACACTTTATACCAACAATTTTCAGTGTATGGGTTGTTCAAACTGTGCACCTCACCTAACTGTTATTCCTTATTGATGGTGTATGCCTGGCTATCTAAATCATGTGGTGGTGCTTCTGGTTTTTGATAGGATGCCTTTAGACAGGAGAATAATGAATAGGAAATAACAACAGTGAACAGTAAATACCTTGGTTCTCATGACAATCTTTGGTTTGGGCTTTGCGTCATCCACAACCCTATATGAAGCCAGGTAAGGAAGAGGATTGGAAAAGCATGTCAAAGAGGCTGTCTGGGTTCCCCACATATCCCCCCAGAATCTGAAGGGTCAGCGCTGGTCAGAGAGGTAGTACAGAAAGCATGGACAAACGCTGAAAACATTTATGCCTGTGTAGTGATCTATTTTCCAAGTGGCTAGCAAGATTAAGGGTCCGAGTCTTTCCATAGGCTTTAATGTGAGTTAGATCCCAAGGGCAATGTAGTTCTGCCCTGGTGGCTAGAGGCTGTTTTCAACTTAGCTAGATAGTTGGGATTGGCATGAAGCTGCCGTTGAGTTTGGAACAGGAAGATGCAAGCAGACAAACATGGTCCAGATGCTTCCTCTCCTTGCCCTGTTTTGGGGAAGCACTGCTCCCATACACCTTCCCTCCTCTGGCTGGTAAGGTGAGAACTCACCAGCCAGGGAAGTCTGACGTGGGAGCAGGAGAAGCTGAGGTGAATTTCCTTTTTCTCTTTTTTGATTCTTCATCCTCGTCAAGAGTAAATAATGGCATTTATAGAAAGGACAGTGGGAAGCCCAACAAGGGATGAGTCAGACCTCTGTATCACTGGCCAGTTTGGGGGCACACATTTCTTTCATTTCAGATACTTTTTGACCTTTGTTCCCATTCCCAAATAACCCAACACGGCATCACCCTATAATGTCAAGATCCATGAAGCAGCCAAAATTGTCACACACACCCTCCGAATCTAACCTACTTTAAACACTATGTATACAAGATTTAGGCTCCCTTCAGGCTTATTTACTTTAGGGCCTTAATAAAATCTAGAATGATGCCTTCCCAGGATCACAGACTGAGGCGTTCTTTTTCCTCTCCACCTGCAGTGCCTAACTCCTCCTGCTCAAATACCCACTGTCATTCAGAGTCTAGTTTTCATAACATTGACAATAAGAAAAGGAGTACTTGTGACACCTTAGAGACTAACAAATTTATTTGAACATAAGCTTTCGTGAGCTACAGCTCACTTCATTGGATGCATGTAGTGGAAAATACAGTGGGGAGATTTTATATACACAGAGAACATCATTGTTTCATATTCTCTGTGTATATAAAATCTCCCCACTGTATTTTCCACTACATGCATCCAATGAAGTGAGCTGTAGCTCACGGAAGCTTATGCTCAAATAAATTTGTTAGTCTCTAAGGTGTCACGAGTACTCCTTTTCTTTTTGCGGATACAGACTAACACGACTGCTAATCTGAAACCAACATTGACAATGTGTCCCCAATTCTGCCTTTGGGTGTTCAAGTTGGCCCTTCGGTGCTTAAAATGAGGGTATGGTTTTAAAGACCAATCTGAACACTCAAATACAGAGTTGGTCAAGTCTGAAAGTGGACCCACAATGCCAGACATAACTGAGCTCAGATCCTGCGTTCTGTGCGGGCGTTATCCTAGTCTCAGTGACTTCAGGGTTGCAGGATCAGGCAATTACAGGATTGGTTTGCAGTTCAGTTGAGAATTAACTGATTTCAGTTGGTCCATTTTGGAATCAAAAGTTACAGAAGTGGCTCTTTGCACATATGAGGAAAGAAGGTTTGGATAATAAGTGATAGGACTGAGGAGAAAAGACACCAGAAAACATTTAAAAATGAAACAAAAAGTGAAGAAAAAAACCAAACCCTTTCAAATAAAACCACCCAGTTGCATTGGGTTTCCTGTGTGCTATAAGGTAAGTAAGTAAGCTGTTAACGGCAAGGTGATTAATACTCCTGAGGGCAGAGTTTAAGAAAAATAGGACAGTTAATAGGTGATAACTCTCTGCAGTCAAGAAGCATTAGAGTCTAGCAGACCATCATCCATGAACACAGAAACACACTGGTTAAGTCTAGTGACTGGAAACTCCAACACACTAGCTGCCGAGGAGTTGAGGAAATAGCCCCAATCATCCTAGAAGAAACCATGAGACACAAATGCTGCATGTAAAGCAGATAGAGCTTGCAGAGAAAATTGGAAAGGAAGATGGAGGGACAACTTACAGCGATGAGCTGGTAGGAGTTGTTCATCATGGCTATGAGCATGTTCAGCAGCACGACCAGGGAGATGACATTGTACGTTCCGAACATGGTGGCCCCGACAAACTCCGTGAACTCGTGCCTAGCCTTCACATTGGTGACGTAGAGATTCAACAGACCAAACACGGACCAGAAGAGTGACTGGAGGGTCTCAAAAAGTCTGCAAAAGACAAACTGCACTTTACTAGTTGGGTCTGGGAGGACAAGAAAAACACTTAGGTCTCTCTGAGCCGTGTCTGTGATGAGGGTGAGTACAATGGTGCACTGCAGCGTAGGGCTTTCTGCACCGTAGCCATGGTGAGGGTGGGGATTGTGCTGCAGTGTACCATAGGGCACTGTGAGCAATTGCCATGAGGAAGATGGGTACTGCGGTGCACTGCACCATAGGGCTCTATGCACCCTGGCCATGGGGAGGATGTCAAGGTGCACTGCACCACTGAAGCCATTCGGCCTTCAGTGCACATGGGCAGGCTGCATCCCTGCGTTCACACTGAGATGAGTGTGCTGAAGAGCAGAGCCAATACCTTCCTTTCTGGAGGGTCAGTATGTGCTTCCCCCTTACAGGCTACAGTCCATCAGCCAGTGCAGGAGGGAGCTGCACCCTGGACCACAGTGTTCCCGGCCCTGTTCGGAGTTCCAGTGGCACCGTGACTCCCCTGCCCTTGTGCTCAGGGGGGTGCAATGACTAGGGCCATAACTGCCCCGACAGGTGCACAAGGAGATTCCCCTACACACACAGAGGGCCAGACACGATTGGGCCCCTCTTGTTAAAAATTTGCATGCCACAGTATAAATAATCTCTCCCATTCCCACAGGGTCTCCATCAGGAAGACCTCTGCATGCATAGGCAACGCTTCAGTCACCTCTGAAGTGCAGCATGGGAACATTATGACAGCACACGGCCGTACTGCATCACAGGAGAGGAGGTGAATATCACATCCTGCTGAATCTCCAGGGGTGATATTGGCTGAGAGCGTGCAATTACCTCAATTGGATATTAACCAGGACAATGGGGCTCAGACCCCTACTCTGTATCCTCACATCACAGGTGGTTAGGGACCCCTGTATTATGTCTGATGAATGGCAGAACCTAGTACAGTACAGTGCCCCCAGCATTATGCAGGAGCACTTGCACAGTCCTGACTCAGAAGAAAGTGTGTCACCTAATTAATGCAGCATGATAGGGTTCTCCTTTGAAGTCTCCTGACCCCACTTAACTTTAGAGCTATGGCTATGGGTTGCTATGGCTTCTGCCATAGACAAGTGACCTTTTGCAGTCATGTCAAATACATTATCAGGATTGTGAATAATCACTCCTTTGGGTATTATTGTTTCAAGTTTTGGGGAGCTGACGTTTCTATCTACATTTAAGATGTTTTGGCTTTGGCCTGGGGTCAATAGATGTTTTTTAAAAAAAAGAGTCTTACTGTAAAAACCAAGAAAGTATTGCTTAAAAGAATATAATCTATTTTGGATGTGCTTGAAATATTAGGAATCTGTTGTATTGGTTGTTCATTTGCCTGTTAAATTCTTTTGGCATTCACACCTTTACTATCCATAGAGGAGTTGCCATTCTTTACAATTTTAACTCTTGTATTACAATCTGGGTTCTATAGAGCCTGGGCCAATTTATGAAATCCTTAATAAAGCAAAACTCCCCTTGATTTGAACAACCTGACTTCTCTGAGAGGCATATTAGTCGAATAAGGATGGGGTAAACATTGAGTAAGGACCTAGGGATTTGGCCCCATTACTTAAGTCTGTGAAACTGTACCTGAGTGATGTAAAGAAAAAAGCACAGATGACACCGTAAGTCACATGACACAATCAGTACACCCACTTTTAAAGGGACCGCCCCATCTCCCAGCTAAACAGCTGAACTCATTTGATTATTATTAACAATAATAACAATACCTAGCCCTTGTATATTGCTTCTCATCAGCAGGTCTCAAAGAACTTTACAAAGTAGGCCAGTATCATTATCCCCATTTTACAGATGAGGAAACTAAACTGAATTTTTAGCAAATAGTTTGTAAAACAATAGAAAAATATTTATTGTTTTTTAAGATCTAATGTAACGAATGAGGTATCGAATCATCCTAGTGAACCAGAATACCAACTAAATGAAAAGTCAACCAGCTTACTGCTCAGCCCAAATAACATTAAACACATATAGCCAAAGGGAAAACACAAGAGCTATCTGTCAAACCACCTGCCAACAACAGGGAATAACTCTCTAGTTGCACACAGAATGGGGAAAGGGGACAAGCAGAAGGGAAATCTAAGTGAGGGGAGGGAGGGAGCAGTCAAGAATGAGCTATCTGACATAAAAATGCCTTATAGCCTGCACTAAAGGGATTAACCAAGGCCTCCAGGAGACATTGTGGCGGGGAGTTTCATCATGGAGGAAAAAAAAATTCCTTGGTTTGCTGCTTGACTGTACCTTGCAGAATTACATCCTCCCCATCCAGCCATAAATCTCAGGTAGGAACATAAGATGGAAAGTATTTGTTCAAGGATTTAGGACCGAGGGGTGAAATTCTGTCCTCAGCCACATGATTATCAATCTGGAATAACTCGTTGAGGGTGAATAGCATGTTACTTTGGATTTACACCTTTGTAACTAAGAGCAGAATTTGACCCTAGGTTAAGAAGGAACGTTATATTGACACTCACACACGACCCTGAATGGTATCCTAACATTAGCAGGCAGTGCAGCTTATCAGGAACAGCTGTAACAGACACCTTTCTTCCTGAGGGCCAAATTGTATGACCTTTACACTCGTACAATAGCATCTTACTCCACACAGAGTGCCATTGATTTCAGTGGGGCTCCTAGTGGATTAAGAAACTATTCTGTATGAGCAAGGGGTTCATACGCTAAACCGGAAACAGCCAGGCCGATGTTGTGTGCTGCAATTCTGTATAACAATAATATTTTGTTATTCTTTCCTCTCTCTTTATGTAGTACAATCACATACTGCCCGCAATGTCTAACAGGGGACCCGAACCAAAAGGCCATGTCCATTGTTAGGCACTTTTGATGAGGCTCACAATATTTTAGAGGAATATTCTTTTAAAATAGAAGAAACAGCAAACCTCAACGGCCCTCTAAAAGCATCTGAGGAAAAGACAGTTCCTGCTTCACTCTCTGGTGCACCGTTAGCCTCCAGCAAGGCTGCAGTTTCTAGTGTGTCTTGGAGAAAATGGCAACCCAGTTAACAGCGTCCCTCTCAAGACAAAATGACACTGCAGAAAACAAGGAGTCACTGACTCCCTCCCACCCCCTTTTGGTTGACTGAGCCTCTGTGATAAATATATTCCTCAGACTGCCTGTCTAAGCAATAGACACACTCCACTTTCTCATGCACAGAGAGGCCAAAGCCTAAAAATTTGAATTATTAATGGCTTCACCTCGTTGCTGTCACAAAGGAATATTACTTTTCCTTGAGCTGTGTTTGTGGGTCAGAAAATTTCTTCACAACAGATATTAGACCCATCCTTGGGGAGTAATCAGAAATAATATGATGGTAAATAGGTGTCATATTTTAAACGAGTTGTACAAACATGAACAGTGCTCCTGTTTCTCCTTCTCTGATTATAAAATTAGCTCTTATTATGTGACTGCCTCGGAACACTTTTAGAGATTGAGGGGACTCACTGGAAGCATTTTGCATTTCTTCTACCACTAAGGAGGGATGAATTCAAGCCAACTTGAGGTAACATTAGGCTTGATTTGAATTCACACCAATGCTGCTCATTCTAAGAGTCCCATAGATATAATTTCCTATTTTGCAGGTTGCCCATTCTTAGCAAGTCGCACATGCTGTGTGTCTGTTTGAGGAGTGAAATGTCAGCTTGCCCTGGGGGTTTTAATAATGACTATTTAAACTTTTAAGAACACAGTGAATAAACTTCTTAAGCCCAGCTCAGACAAAAAGGCAATGGCAATGTATTCTGCCCCCTGCCAAGGGAGCTGGGTCCTAATGTTCCCCACCCACTGCTGCTTTGTTTTAAACAAACCTCTGTCCCCAGATGCCGAGTGCCCTCAACTTTCTCTTTGTGAGGCAGTCTCTTTGGCAAGAGGTTTAAATGCACAGTGGTACCGGAGAATGAGTGGTCTGCATTTAAAGAATGCTGTCAAGTTGATTTGTGCACTTTCTGTCAAGTGGTTATATATCATTTTTTAATTCCCTGTTGTGTGTTACACCCTCTTAGAAACTTGAAAATCACATTTTTTCCCCCGTGACCAAATGTGCTTTTTTCTTTAGTCAAACATCTGTTATTTCCTTCATTGATCAGATGGCACTGAAAGCAGCAAAGTAACTGGCTTGCAATAAAGCTGGGCCCAAACAAAAATCCCAGATTGAAATACTCCCTTCCTCCCATACCCTTCAGCTCTAGGGTTGACTGGATCTGGTTCTGAACTCAGTGCTTCAGCCCTTTTACTTGTCAGAAACTTCAATTTATAGAGCATCATGTCCTGCCAAAACATTTCCCTCTGTGGATCAGCTTTAGCTCAGCTATAGGAATGATGTTTGTTAGTTAATTTACTGCTGCAAAGGGAGCACAAAACATTTTTGTAGGAGCATTAAAATATTTACCATGGGATAAAATGAAGGGCTTTAATTCTTTTTTCACTAACACCATGTGGCTCTCTTCACTTCAGAGGTGTTAGTATTGGGCTAAATGAGTTAACCAAGCCCTCCATGTTTCTGATTTGCAATGGTTGAAGAGCTCTTCTTAGTAAAGGGGAATGACAACGTCTGTGCTTCTTTTAGGAATGCATCCGATGCAGTGAGCTGTAGCTCACAAAAGCTTATGCTCAAATAAATTGGTTAGTCTCTAAGGTGCCACAAGTACTCCTTTTCTTTTTGCGAATACAGACTAACATGGCTGCTACTCTGAAACCTCTCTTTTAGATCTGCCACCTTTGGTACCTTTGATCATGAGGGGCTGTTGACATGTGGCCTCTGGCAGGAGTGGATGTAATTTCACCTAAGTGGTTCTGCTCTTTTTAAGAGGAAAGCATTAGCAGGATGGCTGGAGCAGTTGCTCTTTTGCCCCAAGGCCTGGCACACTTGGGGTCTGTCAGCGCCTGGATGTGATAACCTTGTGGACATGTTGCAAAGCCCATTTTTTAATCCTAAACATTTGGGCGAAAGATGAATGGAGCATTTGGGAGCATAATGGAGAGTTTTATTTGATTCACTATCAAGTGGTGAATAATAATCTCTTCTGCTTGTTTGTGTTTTATTTATTTTATTTTCTATTGTATTTTTCAAGCACTGTAAAAACACCAAGAGCAATTGGATTGGTGCTGATTATTATCAATATTACGGCTATTATTCATTAAAATAAATGCACAAGAAAGACAATTCCAGTTATTCTTCAGTTTGCACTTGTTTCTTCAGCCATGATCTGTGCCAGTTACCATCCCAGCAATTTATATAGCAGTTCCTCAGTAAAGAACTAGCATTTCCTCCAAGTCTCTCTGATCACACCTACATCAGTATCAATAAAATCACTGAAGTCAACAGCATTACACTGGTGTACAACCAGCCCAGGTGAGATGAGAATTTTGCCCAAGCTGTATCACCAGGGCTATAACCTATGCTATGTTCCCAGGCTTCAAGTCAGTTTCATTCTTTGGGTTTGATTGCATAGAGCATTTGTTATGGTCCTACTGTATATTATTTTATATTGCTGTTATTTATCATCATTTTAGTTTATTCTATGCATAGGTTTGTTCCTTCCCTTTTATTTTATACTTTATTTTTTTCTCACACTGAAAGGATTCCTTCTGTGGAGCAACCATGATTTTCTAAAGGATATTGACATTATACAGGGGGCATTACTAAAATACCTTCCAGTGTATACATAGGATCCCATCCTGCACTGAATGGGAGATGGACCAGAGGACCTGGTGGTAGCAGCTCTTTTCATTTTTTAATTTCTATGAGACTTATCACCACCTCCCTTGGGTCACAAACATCCCATCATAGGGAGAGACCTTGTGCTCTGGAACTGAGTATCGTTCATGACAGCTAAAAGGCAGACTTCAGCAAAGGGTCTGCCCCAGTTAACTCAGACTTTCCTTACATAACCAACCAACTGGCCTGACAAATAAAGGCATTCGCAGCCAACGCGTAGAGACTGTTAAGGTAGGAAGCAACGTAAGTCAGCATTACAGAAAGGGGATGGAATCTTACGTGGAGAAGGCATTGTTCTGTTTCTCGCATCGGATCCCCTTGCAGTTGTTGGGTTCCTCTGAGGCACTGGTCTCATAATAAAAATAAAGCTGGTTCAGTCCATTGGCAAAAGCCAGAAGCACCAGACAGTAGATAAAAAGGAATTTGAGGATGTCTAGCAGCATGCGTCCCAGAGAGATCTGCAAGGGGCCCAGGTGGGAATTTGCTGTAAACAGAGATATGAGACGCAAGGAACTTAAAATGTTGGATATTGCAAAGAGAGCTTCTGCAATGAGCGTCGGGTGCCACATTTCCCATTCCTCCCTTGGACGAGAACCATTATACTGAAAGAAATAACAAGGGTACAAAAATTAATGGTGCAGTAAACACTTTAACATAGCCCCAAAAGCCACAACTGCTAACAACATTTCATTATGCAGTACACTAACCAGCTTTTGATTACTTGAACAGATGGTGTTCAAATCTGGATCTCAGTCAGGGTTAGGTAATGCTCAGGGTTCAGGTTTGAAAAGCTGATGTGGTTAAGGCTCAGGTTTGAATTCAATGGAGTCAACATCTCACAAGTTGTCTCCTGTGAGATTTTGTCCTCAAGTGTGACAGTTTCGTGAGATCAGCTTTTCACCAAAGATTATTAGCATGCCTGAGCTAGATTCAAAAATTAAGCTCTTTAGTTTTGGAATGAAAATTTTATGGACCAGTTCAGGACCATGGATTCAAACAGAACCCCTATGACCCCTAAAATTCAAAGGAGTTCAAATTCCTCATTATCAAATTTAAGATTCTGATTTTGGTCCATTATCAATTTTTTTTTCACTTCCAGATTGTTCATACACATTTGAAATGGTGCTTTTATACTCTGGGATAAGCAGAGTGGAAAAGGAAGGAAGGAAGGAAGAAGGAAAACATGGATGAACAATAGAATGTGGTAACTGTATGCCTTCCTCCTTCTTCTTATTTCAAAAAGAGCCAGGCTCCCAGAACTGAAATGCTTTCTGCACATTCATTTTCTTATTAGTTAATTTGTCATGGTAATTTTAGGAGAGTCATAAAAACAGAGGTCATAATTATAGCTGGAACACTGGATACACCTGAAAGCATCAACTATAAAATTAACTAGGTTTATAGTGCAATTATAAAAGCATATGAATTATTTGGGCCAAATGTTCCCCTGGTGTAAATAAGTGCACTCTAGTGACATCAAAAGAGTCATGGAGGCTGATTACATCAGTGTAGCTCCATTGGGCTGACCTACAATGGTGTAACAGATCGGAATCAGATCTTTTAACACCAGGGCTGAATTTGGCCTCTTAGTTCTGTTCTGCTCATTTACCATGTACCATGTAAAAAGGCAAAAAATGTTCCTAGAAAGGCGAATACAGTAACAAGTGTTTTATAGCAACTGATAGATTTTGTAACCTTTAAAATAAACACACTTTACCCTGATAGAGGTATCTTTGTAACGCCCTTCAGTTTAAATCTTAAGGTCCAATGCATAAAAATCACAACTTTTCAAGGAGATAAGTAGAAGCAACCATGGGCTTCACAAAGGAGGACTTGGGCATGGCAGCACTAAACATCACATCACCTAACTTTTCAGCACCCTGCCACCTTGTGTCATTTGCAACCCCAAGTGAGGCAACCAGGTTCCCTATGCATTGTGTAGGAAGAGTTGGGCACCTAAAATAGGGATGGATTCACAGAAGCCAGCCTGTGGAGTGGGGAGCTGTCTAAGCTCACCTGTAGGAAATGCTGAGAAGTGGGGTGGGACCTAAGCCCTGCCCCTCAAAGGGAATTAGGCACCTATCTCTGCTCAGGATTCACCACCAAGCCAGAAACTCTCTCCTGGAGTTATGCACCTAAGCCATTTCAAGAATAACAAGGCATGGTTCCCCTCCTCACCCCAACATCTCTTTAGCCCAGTGGTTAGCACACAAAGTGGGAGAGCTGGATTCAAATCCCTACTCTGTTGGTTTCAGAGCAGGGAGCTGATGGGAGGTCTCCCATGTGTGTGTCCTAACTACTGGGCTCAGAGTCATTCTCTTGCAGGTCCAATGAATCTTTAAGTCTTTCATACAAGGTGGGAGAGATTGAGAGAGACCCCTCTCCCATAGCCATAATCTGGGAGACCTGTGTTCTTGTTGCTGCTCTGAATCAGGCAGAATAGGGATTTGAACCCAGGTTTCCCACATCCCGAGTAAGGGCTTTAATTACTGGTCTAGCAGGGATAAAGGGGGAGGCTCTACTGGCCCCTGGCTGTCTGCTGGGTGTATTAGGCATGCTCGGAGAACACCTACCAGATCAGGCCCTGCAGGAAAGGTAGGCAGGGAAATGCCTCGTTTGTGAATCCTGCCAAGCCCTAGACATGAGTTAGGAAGTGAGCAGCTTTGTGATCAGGACTTAGGCAGCTTTGCACATGCCCACAGGCAGCAGTTTAGGCACCTAGGGGACTTTAGATGCTTACAGGGTTAGGTGGTAGCTGAGCAATGGTTTTGTCAGTGTCAGTGACAGGTACCTAAATACTGTTTGAAAATCTAGCTGAGATACAGTGCAGCTGCATTTCTACATGACCTCTGATTGCTTCTGACATTTCCAAACTGTTCTCCACTTCCATGAACACCAGGGACTCACTTTGTTAACTGGATTTGAAGCTGGCCCTTAAACGTTAACAAACAGTGCAGATGTTGTTATCTCTTTGCTATTACCTCAACCATATATATGTGTATATATCTATATCTATAGCTCAGTGAGAGAGAATCAAATACTTGGGAAGCAGATTCGCATGGAAGCTTCAAAATTCTGCTTTGAGTGCTGGCGAGAAACTTCCCAACAGGATTTAGAGTCAGCTGCTATTAAAAAGAACTTGACAAGGCCTTTTTCATCTCACAGATCTTTATTTTAAAAACGGCAATTTTTCAGGGCTGTGTTGTAATGGCACTATATAAATCAATGGAACCCCCTCACTTGCAGTGCCGTGTTCAGTTCTGGTCAGCCCAGCAAAGTGCATAGCAGAAATAGAAGGGGTTCAGAGATGTATAATGAAAATGATTAGACATACAAAAAGACTGAAATGGTTGGGGCTGTTTAGACACCAGAGAAAGGACAGTATAGAGAAAGGTAAACTGGGCTCTCCCATTTACTCTTTCTCATAATACAAGAACAAGAAGTGGAAGGTTGGACATATGACCAGGGAAGAGTATAAAAATAAAAATATTGCTCGGGCATGTAGGAATGTTATCAGGAGGGCCAAATCGCACCTGGAGCTGCAGCTAGCCAGAGATGTCAAGAGTAACAAGAAGGGTTTCTTCAGGTATGTTGGCAACAAGAAGAAAGCCAAGGAATGTGTGGGCCCCTTACTGAATGAGGGAGGCAAACTAGTGACAGAGGATGTGGAAAAAGCTAATGTACTCAATGCTTTTTTTGCCTCTGTTTTCACTAACAAGGTTAGCTCCCAGACTGCTACGCTGGGCATCACAAAATGGGGAAGAGATGGACAGCCCTCTGTGGAGATAGAGGTGGTTAGGGACTATTTAGAAAAGCTGGACGTGCACAAGTCCATGGGGCCGGACGAGTTGCATCCGAGAGTGCTGAAGGAACTGGCGGCTGTGATTGCAGAGCCATTGGCCATTATCTTTGAAAACTCGTGGCGAACCGGGGAAGTCCCGGATGACTGGAAAAAGGCTAATGTAGTGCCAATCTTTAAAAAAGGGAAGAAGGAGGATCCTGGGAACTACAGGCCAGTCAGCCTCACTTCAGTCCCTGGAAAAATCATGGAGCAGGTCCTCAAAGAATCAATCCTGAAGCACTTGCATGAGAGGAAAGTGATCAGGAACAGCCAGCATGGATTCACCAAGGGAAGGTCATGCCTGACTAATCTAATCGCCTTCTATGATGAGATTACTGGTTCTGTGGATGAAGGGAAAGCAGTGGATGTATCGTTTCTTGACTTTAGCAAAGCTTTTGACACGGTCTCCCACAGTATTCTTGTCAGCAAGTTAAGGAAGTATGGGCTGGATGAATGCACTACAAGGTGGGTAGAAAGCTGGCTAGATTGTCGGGCTCAACGGGTAGTTATCAATGGCTCCATGTCTAGTTGGCAGCCGGTATCAAGTGGAGTGCCCCAAGGGTCGGTCCTGGGGCCGGTTTTGTTCAATATCTTCATAAATGATCTGGAGGATGGTGTGGATTGCACTCTCAGCAAATTTGCGGATGATACTAAACTGGGAGGAGTGGTAGATACGCTGGAGGGGAGGGATAGGATACAGAAGGACCTAGACAAATTGGAGGATTGGGCCAAAAGAAATCTGATGAGGTTCAATAAGGATAAGCGCAGGGTCCTGCACTTAGGACGGAAGAACCCAATGCACAGCTACAGACTAGGGACCGAATGGCTAGGCAGCAGTTCTGCGGAAAAGGACCTAGGGGTGACAGTGGACGAGAAGCTGGATATGAGTCAGCAGTGTGCCCTTGTTGCCAAGAAGGCCAATGGCATTTTGAGATGTATAAGTAGGGGCATAGCGAGCAGATCGAGGGACGTGATCGTTCCCCTCTATTCAACATTGGTGAGGCCTCATCTGGAGTACTGTGTCCAGTTTTGGGCCCCACACTTCAGGAAGGATGTGGATAAATTGGAGAGAGTCCAGCGAAGGGCAACAAAAATGATTAGGGGTCTGGAACACATGAGTTATGAGGAGAGGCTGAGGGAGCTGGGATTGTTTAGCCTGCAGAAGAGAAGAATGAGGGGGGATTTGATAGCTGCTTTCAACTACCTGAAAGGGGGTTCCAAAGAGGATGGCTCTAGACTGTTCTCAATGGTATCAGATGACAGAACGAGGAGTTATGGTCTCAAGCTGCAGTGGGGGAGGTTTAGATTGGATATTAGGAAAAACTTTTTCACTAAGAGGGTGGTGAAACACTGGAATGCGTTACCTAGGGAGGTGGTAGAATCTCCTTCCTTAGAGGTTTTTAAGGTCAGGCTTGACAAAGCCCTGGCTGGGATGATTTAACTGGGAATTGGTCCTGCTTCGAGCAGGGGGTTGGACTAGATGACCTTCTGGGGTCCCTTCCAACCCTTATATTCTATGATTCTATGATTCTATGAACAAGGGGATACTCAATGACATCGAAAGGCAGGTAATTTAAAACTGATAAAAGGAAATACTTTTTACCCTACACTTAATTGATCTGTGGAGTTCATTGGCATTAGATAACACTGACGCCAGAGTTTAGTTAGAATTCAAAACACATTAAGCATTTGCACAAATACTTACTACATTCCCAGTCACACTACAAGGAATTTGTAGAACACCAGAAGAGTTATAAACCCCTATGCTTCAGGGCACAAGCCAACCTCTGGGTGATAAGGATTATGAAGACACTTCTGTTAGGTTATTCCACCACTGACGAATCCAAGGTTTCTTGCACCTTCTTCTGAAACATCTGACACTGACAGATGCAGGATACCGGATTAGATGGACTATGGCTTTGATCTGGCATAGCTACTGGCATGTTCCTATATTGATTAATGTATCCATGAGGCCCAGGGTGCAGAGATGTGGGGTTCCATTTTGAAGAGGCAGGTGTGGGAAGAGAAGCTGAGAAGGGAGCTGCGCTGGCAGGGACACCTGAGGAATGGAGTGCCAACGGCTGGGCATTTAAGGCTTCAGCTCTGCCCAGCAGTGTGCAGGGACAGTGCTGCATCTGTATATAGGAGACAGCACAGGAGTGGAGAGGTAGGCCGGGAGGAGGAGCTGCAGAGCCAAGCTGTGAAAAGTCAGGGGTGCTGCCCAGTGAGACTGCCACAGTCCTCTGATCTCAGAAAGGCATGTCAGGGCTGAAGGGTTAGGACATAGTGACAGGATGTGACATGGAGGGTGTATGCACTGCAGCTGGGACTGAGCCTCCCCACCCGGGTAGACAGATTCACACGAGTGGGGCTTGAGCTACCGTGCTACAAATAGCAATGTGGACATTCCATCAAGGGCAGAAACTCGGGCGTGGCCCCTAGGCTTCTGCAGCCCAGCTCCAGACCAAGCTGCAACCTCCCCACTATTATTTTAAGCAAGGTGACCCTGCTAGAACGAATCGGTCTACCCAGACAGGGAGGCTTGCTCCTAGCTGCAGTGTAAACATAGCCATGGATGTTCAGGGCCTGCAGAGGCTCAGTGGGATTAGCTACCCTTCCAGCTTTATGACTGTATGGAAGTGTGGGCGTTTGCATGCAGGGCTCTGTGGTTTTGTAGGTATGAATTACTCATTCATAAAGAGAATGTGGGTAGCTGTATGTTTGCAGATATGCATGGCTTGGGTTGCGTGTATTTGTTTGTGCCTGGTGTTTTAGGTGTTATTGGTGGGTGTGGGGTAAGCGGCTGCGTGTCTCAGAGAAAGAGAATTGCCACGTTGCTGATTTGGTCACGTGACTTACGATTTCCAGCTATTTCATTTTTATTGCTCACAGTTCAAAGACCAAATGTTCAAGTGTTTCATTTTCTCTCCTGCTGTAAATGTCTGGAGAAAAAGATGTAATCTGGCTTTGCTTTGATACTGATACAGAACAACCTGATCAGGGAGTAGCAGCTATCTTGGCATTCTCTTTGAAAAGTGCTAATTCAGCAGTAAGCAGCCTTCTGCACTTTAAAATGGCCCCTGTGCTGGTCTTTTAATCTGACGAGCTTATACTACAGCCTTCCTGTTTCAGCTAGCTTGTGAAATATTTAGTTTCCTCATCTCTCTCCTCTCTCCTTACATTATGACTGGCTACAAATGGACAGAGAACCTTGGAACAGTGAACTTCTACAGCACTGGTCTGAGTTCAAGCTGCTGTGGTTAAAAAAAAAGGCAAAATCTTCCCTTGTGTACATAGTGGAACCAATGTTATGGAGCAGCAAAAAGGGAAAGCCCTAATTGCTGTGGGACCAGTCACATCCACAATGCAGGGGAGGAGGTCAGGTTATGGAGAGCCCCGCCTAGGGAACACTGCATCCCCTACGTACCCAGGACATGTACTCTGTGGAGGTTCTCTTCTAACTCTGGAGGGTGTGGAGAGATATGGGAAAGGGGACTAGTGAGTGTGCAGTGATGTAGATCTACTGCCCTAAACTCCCTGCATAAAGAAATGTTCAGATTCAGACCCATGTCTAAAGCAGCAGGAAGCTAGATCTGGAATTGTAATTTCAGTTGTCTATGGCCTCAGAAGCAGGAACTCTGGGGAGCTGGTGGGGAAGGACACTCCCAGTCTGAATACAGGGTTACTTCATGTTTGACTTACACCACTGTAACACCACTGACTTCAATGGAGTTACTCCTGATTCACACCAGCATGAGAAGAGAATCAGGCCTACAGACTCTGTGAACACCAGAAAGATTAGAGAAAACTCTGTGAGCCGGGTCCTGCAAGCACACCACTCCCACTAAAGTCGATGGGAGTCACTGTGTTGAGGTATTGCAGGGACTGAGCTGTGTGTGTGTGAGAGAGAGAGAGACAGAGAGAGAGAGAGTGCTTCTGGCAGTTCCCTGGCTTCAAAGCTTGCGCATAAATTAATTTAGAGCATCAGATGTTTATAAATCTGAAAGGTGCTTTTGAGGATGAACGGTGATATGCACTAGCTCAGTTAGTGGAGCTGACAGTAAGGAATCTGCAGCATAGTTGTAAAATCTCAACAGAGTATTTTATCATTTTCCCCATTTACATTATAAAACTCTAATTGTTTTCTGATCTCCCTATTCTGGATTCATTGTTACATATTAAGTGGATTTAGCACTGTTGTAAGTTTCTCAGTGACAATCCAGAAAGTTGAGGTTCACTATCCACAGTTACAAGGTGGGCAGTGGTTATGTGAACTCTTCCCACAACACCCCGCCAATGTGCCTTAACCTTAATCAGGCAGGACAACCTGTAAGGGGTGAGAAGCATGCTCGTTCTCCAAACCAATTTAGTCACTGGCTTTCCTACTGAGTTTGCAAACAAGGATGCCAACTAGTACCACTTGTGATGTGGGCACCTGTTCTCTCTGAGCTGGAATTTCAGCGTTGACAGATCATTTCCTGTGTACTATAGTTTTCACACACATGTGCCAACTTACTGTACCTTGACATAAGCGACAATTTTCAGGGAGATAGTTGCAAGATAGAGCGAGTTCATTGCAAAGTCCATCAGATTCCACCAGTCATGTACATACTCATTGAATCCACCATCCCACATCTCCTTGATTTCTCCCCAAATAAAACCTGTGGAAAGAAAGAGAATTTATCTGCATGAGGGAACATTACTGCCCATTAAAGCAGAGCAAATCCAATGTAATAAAAGGCAATTATAAACTAACTGCTTGGGAAAAAATGCCTCATCCTTTTTCCTTTCCTACAAAATCTAATAAAGCTGCTTACAGAGTATTATATAGCAGAATGGGAAATGCAGTCAGAAAAGGAACGGCTCAGGCTCAAGCTGTCCTGCCCAGTGCTTCACATACTAAGCACAAGGAGATGCTGCATGAAACACACATTCCTTTTAACTGTTCTAGGCCAAAGTTCCCCTTTAGAAAGTGTGGGTGACGTGGCCCAGGGGAAATTTTTATTGATTTAAATAAATAAATGATCTGAGTAAATTTATTTGTCTTAGTTATTAATAGAGCACCCACCTCTGTAGTGTCTAAGGGTAATTCAGTGCTCCTTAATGATGCCAGCGTGGCAGCCTTGAAGGCTGATTTCCCTACCCTTATCCATAAGACAGGTGACAGTCACACAAGCTTCCCTCCATCAATCTGCCTCAGCCCTGAGATGGAAGGATCACATCCATTCTCCAGGCACATTTATTCAATTTCACCTTATTCAATGAATAGCGCCACTGACTTCCATAGGACTACTCCTGAGCAAGCTGCTACTCAGCATGGGTAAGGGTATCAGAATCTGGCCTTCAGTTTACGGCCTCTTTGCTGAGGCTGTCAGCTAGAGTTCCACTTAGCACCATTTGTGGTGGTGGCTTTTGCGATGTGGACGTTTATTCACTAGGAACTGGACTGAGACAATCAACTCCTTTCACAAATGTCAGCCTCCAACAGGGAATTATTCTCACTTGTTACTAACCTAGGCTAAATTTGCCTACAGTCGTGACATAAGGCTCCATACCCTGTTACCACTCCCCTAAGCCATCTAGAGTAACATTTCCAAAAGAGCCTATGTGATTTCAGAGCCTAGCCCTCATTTTCAAATGTCACTTAGGTGTTTCGGAGCTTAGGGTATGTCTACACTGCAACTGAGTGGTATGATTGTAGCATATGTAGTCACACCCGATTTAACTTAAATCTACCTAGCACGGGTACAATCATAGTAAAACCACAGCAGAACAGGTTTCAGTGTAGACGATACAATCCTGCCTGGACCCTGTGTACACGGGTAGCTAGCCTGAGTAGAAGTTCATGCTGCTGCAGCTCCATTGCTACTGGCCCCTGTGCTTGCTAGACTAAAGCTAGCTCGGGGATGTTTTCTGCACTGTATTCATACCCTAAGTCCCCTTTTAGACTCTTAAGTGCCTAAGTGACTTTTGAAAATGGGACTTTTGCTCCTAAGTCCCTTAAGCACTTATGAAAATGTTACCCCATCCCCATATATTTTGCATGGTTGAGTTTACAGCATTGGACGTGACTCAAGAACCAAGACTTAAATCAGAAAAGAAAAAAAAAGCATCAAGAGAGTGGCTAACAAACATCCGACAACAGAATTATGACGTGATCCTCCAAATTGGGATATCAGTTGAGTCTGTTTTCTAGGGCTTTAAAGGTTCAATATGAAGAACAAAGAGCATGGAAATTAACTGTTGCAAACATAAAGATATCAATCACATTTTCTTGGCTGATGCCACTGGTCAGGTCAGCAGCATGTTATGACCAATAAGGTAATTTTAGTACAGCTGTCTTAAAATCTTTGCACGCACAAAATAAAATAAAATAAAATAAATCAATGGAGCAGCTTCTGCTGAAGATCAACTATGTTGTATTTATTGTGAGTAATCATAGTTAGCATTGTTACTATAGTTACTGTAATGCTGTCTGCACTGTACGTGCCTGGTCGTTCTTTCTCTCTCTCTCTCTCTCTCTCTCTATTTTACAGATATTTCATAAACAAAAAAGGACGTTAAAATGGTAAATTCTTCCTTACAGACACATCAGCATCTCATTTGAAGGTCTGTTTTTCTCCAAAGAATTTCATATAATTTAAATGTGAAGTGGAGGGTGCGTTAAGTGGTAGGAAAAAAGGGTGTGTTCGCTGTTTATTCCAAGATGAAGTGAGCTGTAGCTCACGAAAGCTTATGCTCAAATAAATTTGTTAGTCTCTAAGGTGCCAGTAGTACTCCTTTTCTTTTTGCATGTACATTTCAGCTGCACATTTGCTAATTCCTATTGTTTGAAGACTACAGAGAATGAGGCTCGGGCTGTGTGAGAGCTGTAGGGCTAGCCTGTGTGAAGTAGCACAAACTCTCCTGTCTTTTTGGTAAAGTTGGTCACAATGGGAAAAAAAGTTTGTTAACGTTTTCGCAACTCTGTTCTTTACCCATCCTTTCATCCACAGTTAGAATTTTGTAAAAATGATCCTGACTAGCAGTAAAACATAGAAGCAACATCTCTGGTTTTATTTGGAAAAAGAATGGCAGTATTTTGTCCAAATTTTGAAATGTTTGAAATTATCCAACCAGTTCTAGTCTTAGAACAAACTAGCTGTTTGAGCATGTAAGCTTAAAGATGGGTTTTTGAAGAGATACTTGTTATTCACACTCCCCTTCCAGTGCCGCAACCTCAGTAAGTCTTTTTCTGGCCCACTGCAGATTTAGGGACTTGGGAGAATTTCTTGCTCAAGACTGGATGGTGGTGCAGACGGAGATTTTTGATACATTAGGTTCATCCCTCGAATGAAGAATGGCACTATAAACACAGTGTTCAGCACAGAACATGGGATGGGGCAGGATCACCTTAATTCACCTGTTGGCCCCAGTTCATCCAGGAACATTTTCCAGGGATTCCCACTGTGTGTGGGGAATTCCCAGATGCCATGTTAGGGCAACTCAGCATCTCCTCTATGTCACCAGAGCAGCACAAAGAGGCCAGAGAAAGCAGACAGAATCTGAGCCCAACTAATTTATCCTCACAACACAACAAGGTAGGGAAGTTTGATCACGTCTCCACTATACACTTGGTGAACTCAGGCCCAGAGAAATTAAATGCAGAGCTTGGCAGAACGTTTTCGATGAAATTTCATTTCAGCAAAATGTGCTGTTTTGTTGAAGCCAAAAAATGTTGTGGAGATCGATCAGTTTCCATAAAAGTTTCAGCAGGAAGGCTTTGGGTCTGGGGAGAGAACAAGCAAGAGAAACCCCTATATCTGGGCGGAGGGGAGGTTATTCTGTTGGTCTAGGATGGAGGCTGGACAGGTACAAGTCCCTGATTTGGAATGATCTAGGGTAAAAAGCTCTGCTGTGGAAACAGGCAGAGCCAGGCCTTACATCTGGGTCTCCCACACACGTCGTCCTAAAACAGCCGAAAGGTTTTGTTTTCATTCCTGTGCTGACCGAAAACAAATTTGGAAACCTCATTGTGGTGCTCCGGTCAGCTCTAGTTAACCGACCTGTCCCAGGTGAGAAATGAAGCTTGTGGTAGGGCCAGGAACTGAACTCCTTTGAGTCCTAACCCAGGGCTTGACCGTCCTACGAATCACCCTTCTGAGTAGGGACGGGCCCAAAGTGAACGTGCTGAGCCCAGAACCTTAGGGCTGAGTTTAAAGTAAGTCCAGGTTCGAAACACTGGACCTGATTGTACGTGCCAGCTGTAGGGCAGGAAGATGGCACCTTCATAGCAACAATGCAGCAGAAAGCAACATATATGGGCTGGCTTAATGGGGGAAGCTACATCATGAGTGGCCTTGCGATGTCACATTTGGCAGGGGAGAGTAAGGAAACAACTCTCTCTTATTTTATATCTTTTAAAAGTATTTGTATTCACATGACCTCTGAATTGGGTGAAGCACCTGATCTTGCAGGAGTGGCTTGCTGGAACTGAGAGGAGTAGCCAGCAAGAACACTATTGTGGAATTTGCCCTCTGCCCATACAATCCTTGGCAGATATTCTTCTCGGCCCTACAGCCTGTTTTCATCAGGAGAAGCAGATTTCTCTTAAGGGAGCCTCAGAATGAGACTCCAGCCTAAGCCGATGGTACATGGGAGCAGGTACATTTTAACACAAGAGCAAGGTAGAGTAAACGAAGCCAGACGTGAACCTAATGAAAGGAGAGATTGTGTTTCCTCTGTGAGTCTACAAGGTTTTATTTGCCACAGTGTGCATTTGAGCTCAAGGCAGCTCAGCTTGAAAGGGGAAATGAATCTGACTCATCAAACGTATCAAAATGTGGTTTTTTGCTCTTACACTTCTGCGGGCTCTGAAAGCTGGGTTCCATGCTGCCATATCATCTTTATTCTTTGCTTTTGTGAAACAGACAGAACGGGGAAGCTGCCACTCATTTTTCTTCACAATTAGGGCTGCACTAATCAGCTTGGAATAGGCAGCTTCTGCTTTGACATTCCAGTAACCAGCTCTCCCCCGTTCATATTGGAGAGCTAGACTGTGACTTGGATTATGTGCCAGCACTGGGGCATAAGGCAGAGCAGGAGTCTTCCCTCTGATGCCCCATGTGCAGGCAGTCGCGTAGCTGGGGGGGGAGCGGGGCAGCAGCCACTCCCCCACTGAGCACAAGTGGCGCCTTGTCAATGTCTTGGCTCCTTTTAAATTTTCTGCTGTTGAGGGAACGGGGGGAAAGATCCAAAATGTCAGGACGGGTGGGGAATGGGCAAAGAGCGAGCAGACTCTTAGCTCTGCCTCCCCCGTGCACCAGCCAGTGCAGTGGAGCCAATAAGAGAGAGTCACAATTTGTTGCTGGTATAGGCCAGCAGCCAGTTATGATGCCCCTTCCCCACTCAGAGCAAAGGGGAAGCGAGGAAGGAACTGTGCATCAAACGGACACAGCACCTCTCGCGGCTACCCCAGGTTGGTGCAGCTTCCTGAGGGCTATGCCAAAAGACACAGTAGATGGCAATAAAAACAACAAAACAGCCCTAGCCCCATAGTTCCAGAAGAAGGACAGCAGTTAATGAAGTTTCCAGATTTGGTTGCCAAACCTGTTTACACGCAGATAACACAGAGACTAGCAATTAATCCACATGCAGTTATCATGAGCGTAAGTCTGCCAGTTGAGGCCCAAGCATATTTGTGTTTCCTCTGATTTACCTAGAACCCAGGGTAGGATCATCCATTCAACGATAGTGGGAGGTGGTCCCTGCACATGGAGATCAGTCCTGACAATGTGCTGCGATGCCAGAAGTAGCATGAAGAGGAAGGTTAGGTAAGAACCGGTGTGGCAGATAAACTTTATAAATGGCTTTTTAATGAACAGTCCCAGCCTGCTCTTAGGTGCAATTAAATATGCCACAGAAAGCACAGGAAATAGCAGTCCAATGGTGATGCAGGTCAAGAGCTTGACTGCCCAGTGTTTCCGCCTCCATCCTGGAAAGCCGTCATACCAAAGTGTAGCTAACAGCTGCTGGCAGTTTGGCTGAGCAACAAACTGGAGAGGGAGAAAAAAGGAAAAGGTTAGAAGGACAAAGATGCAAAGGCTTCTCCTGGACAGTGATCATCATGCACTTGGGATAATTTCCCTCTTTGGTAATTCACATGAGCTGCATGGCCTATACGTCCCCCTGTTTTCCTCTGGGCTCCCAATGAGTGAGCTGCAGTGCACCGTGGCCTTTTACTGGGGATGGACCTGTTTTGGTTTTTTGGTGGTTGTTTTTTTTTAACTCAAGATGAAAACCCATTGGGAAAGAAGAAGAACCACCGTGTACCTTTCCCCAAACACCAACCTAGGCCTATGGTAGTGCCAGGGATGGCAACCAGATTTCCGGAGTCCCAAGCTACTATCTTACCCATAAGGCTAGCCTTTCCCATCAAGGCGTCCTGACAATCAGCGTTCCAAACAGGGGCAGGCACAAAGCCAGACAGTTAATGTGCCAGGCCCAGAATCTTAATCTGCCATTTATGCAGCCTTGCAAATGGGGCTAAATTGGGCCTAACCCTGACATGGGTATGTAGGTGTAAAGTGAAAGCAGCTGTCCTCAGTTAAGCCACCTCTAAAGGGCCAGGCCCAGTCATACTCCCTCTGTTCAGAGATGTGCCACCAGGGGCACGAGCTACTTGAAATACAGTGTGAGGGTGCAGACAGTGGGTGGGGACACTGCCTTGTCCTCTGTATACTGGTCAGCTGAGCTGGCCCGGATGTGAGGTTTAAGCTTTATCAGAGAATTTAAAGGACACTCTTTAGCTCCACACTTTCTCTCCCGGAGCTCCAGAGTAAGATGCTACTCAGACGTGAGTAAGGGTGGCAGGACAGGGAGCTGTATATCGGTAAACTAAAGTCTGAAGGAAACATTTCTAGATTTTGGGGACAGTTCTCCTGCTGATCCTGGCTATGGAGATCTGTGGTATATTCTGGACCAGTTCTGTGTGTAGGTCAGGAAGAGAGGGGGATTTTGCATTTTTTTTTACTACAGGCAGGATTTTAGTGCTTAACTTTGCTCTAGGAGGCTATTTCTGTTTTTAGTGTCCCTCAATAGAACAGTCACTGGTCTCATGTGAGCCCTAGTGCTAGAGTTACATAATTAATAGTTACTCTGAGCATCTTCTATTCCCAAGCTGCTGCTTCTCCAAATGCTTTTTTCAGCTTTTGGCAGACTCAAAAGAGCACTTGGCGGCATTCAAAAATGATTTGGAGACCAGATAGGCAGGAAGAGACAGAATGGTAAAACTCTGTGTGTGTGTGTGTGTGTGTTTGCACGTGTGCCTGAAAGTGAACATATGCATTTGTGCATGCAGGCAGGCACATGCAAATGGGGGGGGGGGAAGGGCTTGGTAGGGGAATGCATGTGGTTATGTGACGTTCTAACACGGAACGACTGGTGGGAAGCTGGATGCACTTTTGGCAAGGTTGTTTGTTGTCAGGGAAAGGTGGGCAGTTGTAAAATATCTGAGTCTAGTCAGGGAGAGGGACACTTTTGATCACAGAACAAAAATGACACTTTAATGTTCAGTTCTACTCTGAAAATGACTTTGAAGAAATGGGCTCATAGGATTCTACATTTATGGTGCCTGAGTGATTCCATAGCAGAAGTGCTTAGTTTACAAGTAAAAAGATGTTTTTTTCTAACCACCAGTCCTACAAACAGCCTTAGGATTCAAAACTCAAGCCAAGTTCTTTCTGTCTTGTGCATCAGCATCAATAATAAATATTCTGCAACCAGATGCTGCCCTCAATTACATCTGGGCAAGCCTATTGCTTTCAGAATATTTCTATTCAGAAACTTTTCAGAACAAAATGTATATTAAGGACCCTATCCCCATACCCAATCCGAGCTCATTACAGGATAGAGGCATACGTGCTTGTTTTTTGCCTTGCGATTTTTTTCATCCCCCTTGATGGGGTTATCCTTAAATTCATAGTTGATCTAAAATGTTCCTGAGGGATTCCTTTACGACTTTTCACTCACACTCTACCAGTTCTGCATTCAAGATAACATGGAAAACCCATGACCTTAGTTCTAATCATGTCATTTCACTAAGGTCTTGTCTACACCAGGAGGGTTTTATTGTTATAGTTATGCTGGTATTGTTAAACCAGCAAAACCCTCTTAGTGTGGACACTGTTAGATCGGTATAAAAGTGCTATACCATTATTACTGCATCTACACTCGGGCTTTTACTGACATAGCTTTATTGGTAAAAAAAAAAAAATCACCCCCCTAACCAACATAGCTATACCCGTGAAACATTTAAGAGTAGACAAGGCCTCTGAGACTGATCAGAAAACAGATTCAAGGTGGTGAGTAATCTGAAGATGGCAGTATTATTTGTTATTCATGGAGTGTCTCTGGAGAAGTGAGATTTGGTGTTTTATAGTGTTATTAATCCCCAAGTCACATGTACATTTAGGAGACAGTTATGTGCTCTTTGAGCCATTTCCCAAAAAAAATGTGTCTTATACCCAGGCCTGTTCATGGGTCCTACTGTTGCCCATCAGATGAGTTCAGATTTGACATGGCAAAGTCACTTTCATAATAAAGGTTCCCGCACATACCCAGACTTTTAACTATCCATTCAACACTAAAACTTCCTAACAAGACTTAGCTCTTACAGGGTGCTCTTCATCCATGATCTCAAAGCTCTTTTTAAAGGCCAAGCATTATCATTCCCATTTTAGAGAGGAATAAACTGAGACCAGGAAAAAAGAAAAATAACTTGCCCAACATCACACACACAAAGTCAATAGCTGAGCCAGCGCTAAAACCTAGGTCCCCTGCCTACAAAAAGAGTGGGCAGGTGCTTGAGAAAAGCTTATATTCTCTCGTGAGTATTTGAACTATAACCTGAAGGATTGCTGGCATACAAAAGTTGGTATTCTCATTAATGCACTGGTGAAGGGGGCTGGTGGGAAATCCTTTCTCAAGAGCTCTCTCAGCACCTAAAGACATGATCTCGGAGGAGTCAAATGGTGATTTACTGTTCAAAGGGAAAAAAATCAAATAAGAAATTGACCAATTTATAGAGGCAAGATAATCCCTTCCTCTTCTTCTATATCTTTTTAACTGTAATTCACTTTGAAAACCCACATTAAGGGAAGTAATCAGCCAATGATTAATTATAGACGGCAAACTAACTAACATGTGACAAAAGTCAGACAGAATCCTTTAGGAGGGACTTAATGCCATTATTTTTTGTACATATTGACTTGGATTTTGTTCACCTATCTTAGGCTCTAAGATTCCTCATATAAGAGATGTCTAAATTTGCAGAAGCAGGTAATTCAAATGGATGGATTGATCTGCCTGAGTGCTAAGAATAAAAGTCCCAGAAGGAGCAGCAGGTGTCTGAGGTGTGGGACATTTATTTGGGAGAGACAGGTGGACACAGGAGGATACCGGAAAGGAAAATCAGAGGGAACACGTTTGCTTTAATTTGACTTTTAACACCCCCCAGTCACTGAACAACAGTTGGTATGGTGATGATCTAAGGAAAACTGCAGGGTGCTGTTTCCCAGGACCACTCGAAAATGCTATTGTAATAAAAATTCTACAGAAAAACAACAGAAATCAGTAATTTCCTTTTCCTTTTTTAATCTATGATTTCAGAGGAGTCTAAATCACTGGTTGTGCTTAAAAGCCAATGGAACAAAAGAAATGGAAGGTTACCTTGCCATATTTTTTACATTTCAGGGCTTAGACAAGGGTTCTGGCTGGATGTTTTCTACAGGAACTTCCATAGTAATGAGTAGTGTGTTTCCTAAAAAAGATCAGCAGTGATTTTTTTTTATGTGGGAGGGGAAGTATCTTATAAAATATTTCTTCACTTTATTCCATGTAATAGAAAGCAGAAAGGGGAGGAAGAGTTTATTTCCCACCCCTCACACTGAATCAAACCCAGAGCCACTAGAGCAGTGGTTTTCAACTTATTACACATTGTGGGCTGCATATGTGGCCACCCCTGCCACACAGCTGCCCCAGACCCCGCAAGGCTTGCCGGCAGCCCCAGACCCCCACCACATGGGGTGGGCTGGCTGCCCCAGTCCCGGACCCCGGAGCTCACGGGGCCTGCCAGCAGCCCCAACCCTGAATTCCTGCCACATGGGGTGGGCTGGCATCCCCAACCCCGACCCCTCCGCGCAGTGAGGCGGGGCAGCCCAGCCGGACCCAGTGATGAGCTGCCAGAAGCTGAAGATCCGGTTCCTTCAGTTGCTCTGGGTCTTCGGCGGCACTTCGGCGGCAGGTTCTTCCCTCGCTCCAGGTCTTCAGCAGCACTGAAGGACCTGCCACTCAAGTGCCGCCGAAGACCCGGAATGAGTGAAGGGCCCACCACTGAAGACCCGGAACGAGTGAAGGGCCCGCCGCCGAAATGCCACCGAAGGCGTGCAGTGCTGCCGAGTGAGTACAAATTCACAGGGGGAGCCGAGAGCTCGGGCGGGACGGGCAGGACAGGAGTTTGCCCACCCCTTTAACAACCAGTTCTCAACCAGCTGCAAAATTTAGCAACCGGTTCTAAACCGGCTGAAAAATTTAACAACCTGTTTGCGCTAACCAGTGCGAACCTGCTCCAGCTCACCACTGGCCCAACCCCTCCGCACTGGGCAGCTGGGAACCTGGTGGACCCCAGGACGTGGGTTGGCCTTTAGCACACAGCTGAGCTGGACTACAGCTGTGTGCTAACTGGGCTGCATGCAGCCTACAGGCTGTGGGTTGAGAACCACTGCACAAGAGAAATCAAAATATTTTTGCTTCTTCTGTTGCTTGTGCAACTTCCAGGCATCTTAAAAACTTTCTCCCCTAGTGCCAGCTTCAAGGCTTATTTTTAATATGTGCTCTCCTTTCCTTGTATCTGATGTCAGTTCTACAAAGAGAAAAGAATTCATATATCATGCAAGGGATCCTTTCAAGATCAGCTCAGAAAAAAGGAATGGCAATAAAAATGCCATTAAATCTTCCAACCAAGCCCACCCCTGCCTTACTAAAAATGCTCCAAAGG